TATGTATTATTTACATGTGATATAATATGTATGTAAGGCCAGTTGTGGGGTAATGCAGACTATGTCTGACCCAATTTAGGAAAAGAGTGATGTCCATCATATTTAAAGTGTCAGGAGCTGAGCAATCTCAACATATATACTGTACATAATATAATGTGTGTTTTGTCAGAACGTTCTCTCTACTTCTCCACTCCACTCCTCTCTACTCTATTCCCTGTGATGTCTACTGTAGTTGAACCTGACTGAAGATGAACAAAATAGACTTGGCGGGAAACATTAGAAAACCAATAGATGAAAGCATAAACTTGGAGCCTATTGCTCCCTATCTACTCTTCCCCCGAAAAAGGCATGAAATCCTGATGTGATCTTTGGGGCTAGAGGAGCATAACTGAAAATGTGAAACTTCTGGATGCTTGATGTCTTCACTGAAGCTTAATTTAATACATCAAACAGATAAAAGGGCAGCAACATGTGCACTCACTAAAGTCAGCAGATATGCAGCATGCTCCCCATCGCCATACAAAACTCATGATGTTGCACAGACTGCAGCCACAGAGTAAGACCGAAAGTATACAAAAGTGTAACATCCAATGAGTTCTTACTTATCGTCTAACTCGTCTCAAGGACAGGATATTTAAGAAAGCAAACACTGCATCAACATAGCTGGCTAAAGTTAAAAAAGGCACATTTTGATAAGTTGAATAACAATTAAATTAGATACATGTAGGGCTGAAACGATTCATCGATTAAATCGATAAAATCAATTAATAAAATGCATCGACACAAATTCTTTGCATCGATGCTTCGTTTAATCCATGTAACTTTACAGCACAGTGGTTCACAGGTATGGAACATCCAAAGTGACAGAACTGAATGAAAATAAATAAATGGGGAAATAAATGCAAGAAAGAATGAATGAATAAAAGAATAAATAAATGCAGAAATATATCAAAGAAAGAAAGAATGAATAAAAGAATAAATAAATGCAGAAATATATCAAAGAACAAAGGAATGAATAAAAGAATAAATACATACATTTGCTTTTGCCTTTCCCCTTTTCCCTTAGAGACCTATGTGTATTGCTTTTTCCTTCCTCTTCCTTAACTGTCAATCAACGTGTTGTGGCCCGCCCACTAACTCAGGTCGAGCAGCCGATGACTGATACTATCTTCAATGTGGATATGCTGTCCCTGGAAGAGTGTTATGATTGGTAGAAAGTTAAGAAGGAGTTATGCTGCGTTCAAGACCGGACGGAACTAGGATATTTCCCAGGTGAAACTTCTGACTTCCCACATCAAAGCGTTCCAGGTGCATGGTGGTGCATGACACCGAAAGTGAACGAAAACCATGGCTAACTGTGACAACGTGTACACACAGCTGCACCCTCAGCAGTGTTTTAGGTGTTAATTAAAAGCATGGCAGTTTAACTGCAACAACTTAATATAACATAAATAGCCTATAGTTACTAGTTAAAGGTTCAGTGTATAATATATCTGAGGATCTATTGACGGAAATGCAATATAATATCCTACTATGTTTTCAGTGGTGTATAAAGACCTTGTATAATAAACCCTTATGTTTTTATTACCTTAGAATGAGCTATTTATATCTACATACACGAGGCACCCCCTGCTGTGGAGGTCGACATACACTCACCTAAAGGATTATTAGGAACACCATACTAATACTGTGTTTGACCCCCTTTCGCCTTCAGAACTGCCTTAATTCTACGTGGCATTGATTCAACAAGGTGCTGAAAGCATTCTTTAGAAATGTTGGCCCATATTGATAGGATAGCATCTTGCAGTTGATGGAGATTTGTGGGATGCACATCCAGGGCACGAAGCTCCCGTTCCACCACATCCCAAAGATGCTCTATTGGGTTGAGATCTGGTGACTCTGGGGGCCATTTTAGTACAGTGAACTCATTGTCATGTTCAAGAAACCAATTTGAAATGATTCGAGCTTTGTGACATGGTGCATTGTACTGCTGGAAGTAGCCATCAGAGGATGGGTACATGGTGGCCATAAATAGATAATAAATAGATAATAAGAGATAATCAGCTGATGATTACAGTTAGCTAAAAAAAACGTAACATTGCATGGAGCATGGTGGCTCAGATTAGCAAGCTAAATGTTTACTGCCCTGGGGGAAAACATTTATTTTTACTGCTAACAGCATTACGATAACAACACTGTGTTCCTATCAAGTGACTAATTATGCTTATTGTCAGAATTTACATTAGAAACAACGTATTTGTTTGTATTGCTTCTAGGGTGCATACAAAGGTTACCACAAGCTCAAATTATGGCACTCAGTACTTATATGTGTTATATTGTAGAGCACCCTTGATCCTCACCTGACTATGGCTTTGTAAACTTACCCATGATGTGTTTTATAATGGACTGTGGTAAAGAAACAGGGACATTTTTACACACTCTTGGCTTACGTTTTCCATGTTGTCTGTCGGTGATCATACTTGCACTAGATGTGATAGTTTTTGGGATGTTCAATTTATTAGGCAAGATGAGCAAACCCTACAAAGATGTAACACATTGTGGATTACAGTACAGTAATGTATTACAGTCATGTAGCACTTCATTTATTGAGGCTGCTGCTGTTTCTCCAGCTACTAGACAGGTCCTGCAACATCGACTCCCTTGAAGAGAAAACCTATGAAGTCCCAGCTCCGGCATTGTCTAGCATTGGTGCTTCTAGTGAAACAGACCGGTAAGTCATGCATAACAATATATTAATTTTGTCCTAATAGCTTTGATTAGAAACATGAACTTTATGATTAGTGTGTAATAGTGTGTTATTATTTTTGGTCTATATCTACTGTTGAATGAGCATATGTGGGATTTACACAACTTTCTCTGGTTATTCTTTACAGAGATGAGCATCTTGATGTCATTCCAGAAGCCACAGAAATTCAGGGCCTTGAACAAAGGTAACAAGTACACATCATAACTTTTAGCCCTGTATTGCTTTTCTCCAAATGTTCATAATATATGTTTGTAATATGTTTTTTGCAGCTTACATGATATGAGCATTGTTGAGGAGGACTTGGAGGAAAATGTTTTCAATGACCCAATGAACAGTGTGTAAGTAGTACTTCCTAATTACATGTATTATTTTTCAGTGATATTATTTGAGAACTTGTTTTTATCTGAAAGTTGTCATTACGTAAAGAATTGATTGGGCAGATAAAGCTTCATCTTACTCCCTTGAAAGAGGACAGAATGGTTTCAGCTCTGATGAAGAGGATCTTCCACCGATTTCTATACGGTGTGTTATTTGTCAGTCTCAATTTGCAATTGTTAAGTGGTGTTTGTTTAATACAGAGTTTTGTGCCTAAGTAGAATGGGTAGAGCACTGAAGAAAGCACACTCTATCGATGGACTTCCTTGCCTACACATGAAGACGCTCCTGATGAGCGTTCTCCCTGTGATCATGACCCTGTTTTCCCAGAACCACAGAATGTCCGTTGTGAAGATGACATCATAGGTATCAGAGCCTCCATAGTGTACGAGAACTGCTTAAGACAACTGGCTACAATTCTGATCCTGCCTGTGGATAAATGCACTGGCCTTCTGAGAACTGGTGCGCCATGCAACTCTGTTGCACCCTTTGAGATCAACATCACCACCAAGGGCACAGCAGCTACTATCGAATGGGTAAGTCCAGACAATCACAGAATATCACAACTTCAAATTAGTATAAAAAAAAATGTTATACCAAAAGCCAGTGCTGTACATGACAAAAGCAAATGTTTCTTCTGTGGGACTTTTAGATATAATGGACATAGCTTGTGGAGGTGGAATTCCCAGCCTGTGATGAAGTTTGGGATGCAAGCTGGAGATTTTCTCTTGTCCACCAACATTTTGTTGTCTGGCAACAACTACGCAAAGGTTGCCCTCTTGTTCAAATTCATGAACATGGGGATGGTGAACAGGAACACTTTTTTCTCCATTCAGGACACTTACTGCGTCAATACAATAAAGGACATCTGGGAAGATAGGTTCTTTGTCGCCTTCAAGGGAAAGATGTTGTTGTCCTAGGTGTGTAGTTGATACTGTATTGTGTAACATAGCTATTGAATACACTAAGCAATGACAGTATGGAAACAACTAATACTTGTTTTTCTGTTGAATTATATTTTAAAAAATTTCAACGGATGGCAGAAATGACTCTCCTGGTCACTGTGCACAATACTGCAGCTACACCACCATGGAGATCATTCATGTTGCCACCATAGACAAGTGGCAAACATCATGGAACTCTGTCGTCATGGAGAAGGAGGGTTTCATCCAGACTGGACAAGCTTACATCAGAAATAAAGCTAGTGGAGATCTGCACAGATGCTCATGCCCAGATTGGTGCCCTTATGAGTAAGTATTCATGTGATATATTGTATGGATGCATGTGTATAACAGCAATATAAATATTATAGTAACATGACATTATTTACCGCTTCATAGGCCCTTGGAATTCATCACAGTCTGGACATATGGCATGGTGCAAAGAACCTTGCCAAAAAAATAGTAGCAGTATGTGGCAGAACTGGCTAATGCTGTGAAACAATTATTAACCATAAAGTTACTATTCTGTACATCAGGGTTATTGAACTATGTGCAGTTGATGGATGACAGTATGGAAGTTTTCATTGCACTCAAAGACAACAGATTTTGTTTCACCTCTACACACAGACTATAGTTGAATGCCTGTATTTTACAGTAATATTTATTTTTCTCTTTCGAGGCAGCAAAGATAAAAGGAGAGTCCATCCTCTTCAACTGGCTGAAGGACATACCATTTTCGGTGGTGTTGCAAGACTGCTGACACACGTGGGCAGTTTCTTGTAAGCACACAATTTTATTATATCTTTGAGTAACTTAATTAATTTCTATATTAAGGACATTTCTATAGTGCATTTTTATGTTTTGCAGGCATTATGGGTTGGCATCCTTCACCATGTCTGCAACATTTACACCTGGACTATGGTAAGTTGCAAACATGGGCACCTTGAATCGGATCAAATGCGGGGAAAGATGTGGATCCAGAGAGACTCCCAGTGCCACAAAGCTTTAGTGGATATAGTTCTCGATAAGAGGTGGCAGAAAGATGTTCACAACTATCTGCGATTCAGGTAGTGTGGCTATACTTTTTCACACTGATGTATATTAGTAATATTTATGCTTACTGCTCATGTACACAGAAGTATGTATTTCTTTGTTCTATCAGATCAACTGCAGACCTAGAGTCATTCCAGAATCATATCCTGATGTATGCCAGCAAGCGCTACGCTTTCAGCCACCCAGTTTATGAGGCAAGAGTTCTGCTTGCTGCTTTGGACTACAATTTCCACCGGAACCGACCAACAATGAAAACGTTGGACGGCAAAGAGATGTACGTTTTACACTTGTATAATATTCCCATTCATAGTACAATATTCAATATTCTGCTAAGTCCACTGTGACCAGCGCATATTATTTTCATTAGGTAGCCTAAATTACAGTTTACAATTTGAACAGTAATGATAAGTAAGGCTACAGCTGTCCCCTATTATGTAAATGTAAATAACAAAAATTGGTATTGGAAATGTTATGGCAAAGTTTGAAATTCTAAACACATGTTCAAATGTATATAATGAAAATAAAAACACCATGTGCTTCTATTTCTTACCTTTTTATTTTTTCGATACCATAGAACTGCAGTTGAACAACAATAACACTATATAACTATACAACATACATCAAAATTAAATAAAGAGGGGAGGAATAAGAATAAATATATATAGAAATGTAATAATAAACTAACTATGTACATTTGTTTGATGCCTTGATGAAACTGTATAACCATGCCAGAGGGCCTGGAAGGAAATTCACAGTCCAGGAATAAAACCCGTGTAGTGTCCTTGAGGATCAGGGAACTTGTCTCTAATCCTCCAAACACAACAACTAGGGATGACAAGTTGGTTTCCCTGGCCTAAAGCTCCATGTTTACCAATAGATGAAGTGTCTATAGGCACCATAGCGGTCCTCCCTGTTGTCATCCCCAGGCTCCCTGATGTTGCCTAATGCCGTAATGTCCTCCCGGTATTGCCTGTGAATGCGAATAAAGCCTTCTTCAAGGCAGTACTGGGAGAAGTGTGGCAGTAGGCTCACACAGTTCGCTTGCTCCTGGCCACAGCATTTCCCTACAGTTACCACAAGTACACCAAGGTACTCCTGGCACTCCGGCAGAAGGTGGGGCACCATGTCTGCGCTGATGCATCATCAAGGCATCAAAGACCAGGCCTGGCTGCCTCTCCAGCAGAAGGGTGGAGAGCTCTGTGTTCTTCAAGGGTCATCTCCTGAAGAAGTCTGAAGAAAGAGGACACAGGCAAAAATACTCAATATGCAATATTCTCTGCTTAAATACTATGGATACTCTGTCTCGATGTTGTTTTTAAGATTGTATCCATTCCAAATGAAATATACTGGTACTCATTATTACTATTAATATTTAATGCACTACTACTATTTATCATTACACTTCTGTTGATGCTGTAAATTACTTTACATGTCCACATTACCTTTATTTAGATTTAGATTTTATAATTGTTATATTTAATTGACATGCAAGCTTAGCAATTGTGACCAAGAATTTTCCCTCGGGTATCAAAGAATGTGTGATTCTGATAAAATAAGGCTTTATAAGTTGCATGACATTATGTTGGCAACATGGTACTGCATATTAGGGTTTGCAGGCTGGCCAGTGTTTGTTCAACTTGTATAATATGGCTTCATATAATCATTGTTGCCCAGTAAATGACATGTTACTACTATCTAACGTTACAGTACCAGGGGTACATGTGCACAGAGCTGCTATGTAAATAACGTTATCACTGTGTGCTGGGGTTTGTCATAAAGTGCAAACAGATCAGAATATAATAACATTACAACAACCTTATAAATACAAACCTCGGTAACAGCCCTCGGGTTCCTTTGGAGGGCTTCCACTCTTTCTTTGTCCTCTATTGAGCCATCACTCTAGGTAGGTCCTCTGCCTCTCCGCCCTCTTCCTCTCCCTCTCTCTCTTACAGTTATCTCCGGTAAATGGACTTCTGCATTTAGATCACATTGACATGTGCTGGTTCTGTCTAACATTAGCTTCTTCTTCTTCTTCCTTGTGCTTTTATTGTCAGTTGGCAAACAACGAATTGGTGCGTTACCGCCACCAACTGGTATGCAGTGTGTATCAAAGCTTTATCACATCTCTGATCATGGAGAGAAATACTTCTGTGAGTGATTAGTTGGACTTAGTGGGCGGGCCACAACATGTTGATTGACAGTAAAGGAAGAGGAAGGAAAAAGCAATGACAATAGGTCTCCTTGGGGAAAGGCAAAAGCAAATGTATGTCTTTATTCTTTTATTCATTCATTCTTTCTTTGATATATTTCTGCATTTATTTATTTATTCTTTCATTCAGTTCTGTCACTTTGGATGTTCCATACACAGGGACATTTATTACTGTTGCACATCGCACTTATGCTGTGAACACGATGTGTCGGGGAGCTGCACCTTTTAACTCACCTCCAGCTCTCTTTATAGCTCAGACAATCCCTGCTACCTGCGTGTGCTAATCCATCCTTTTACTCATATTCTTTGTCTTTATAATTGCCATCTTTATAACAAAAAACAGCTGTTTCGTGTGCAGGTTCACTCATTGCCCGTTTCTAGTGATGGGATCACCAAATCTCGTTCATTAAAATGAACTAATCTTATTTTGTGTGATTTCGTTCATTTTAACTAGGCTGGTTATTGCAGTGCTACAATTCAAACCATGTAAAAACCACAGAAATATGTTGTCAACATTCAATTAAGCCACTACTCCGGCTAAATCCGTCCATTTTCACGATCTTTCCTGAGTATACTACCAGACCAGCCATATATATATATATATATATATATATATATATATATATATATATATACACAGTATATATAATTATAATTACTATCACTATATCTCTAAAGTGCTCATGAGTAAAATCTATATATTAACATCAGATTTACAGGGAATATATTGAAGTAATAAGCTTGACACACTAGATGAATAAAACACACAATTTTAAATTTAACAGATTTAATAATAATCTCAAACACTGCAGGTTGTTCACCAGTGAAGAGCGGTGAAACAACAGCACGGCTCTGTCGATAAATAAAAATTAAAAGCTACGTTGCGTTCTCTGGCGGACCGGATCAGCTGTTAGCTGTAAACAAACCACAGGGCTAACGCTGCTATGTGGCTGTGTTTTAATGGTTTAATGTCCGGGTCCGTTTATTTTGAAGAGGAGACGACCTCTGTGGTAATTCAGCTCCTGGTAGAACCCTGTCAGGGCTCTGAAGTCGAGCGGACCCAAAACAACTCTCATCAGCTGTTGGCTGTAAACACTAGCAGGACTAAAGTTACAGTGTGGCTGTGTTAAAACTATAACTTAACTGCGCTGTAATAACGGTATGCTTTATTAAATGTCACAAAATTATCAAAATAGATATTAGATATATGTCAGTCCAGTGACTGTTACCTGACAACAAACTTGCCTCTCATTTCCCGGTGCTGGCAGTAAGTCAGCCTGCCGAGTGAAGACAGACTCCTAGGAGGACCCATGTGAACACTGAACGATTAGTTCATTCCTGCTCCGCAGTAGCCGAGATGTCACGTGAAAAATGAATGACTCAAACCCAGAGACCCACAGTTATGAGTCCTGAACTAATCAATTCTGTTTCCTGTACTGCCTGCTTACCACAGCCTGTAGCCAGCTGTCATGTGACAAATGAACGTCTCAAAACCCAGAGACCCACAGTTGAGAGTCATGAACTGATCAATTCTGTTTCCTGTGCTGACAGAGACCTTGCAGCTGCTGTGTAACGAGTGAACGTAAGAGTCCAAGACTGAATTACTCACTGAGACAACCCGTTCTTCCTGAGTCACATACAAGATTAGGTCAAATGAACAAAACGTTCTTTGAACAACACAACACTACCCGTTTCACATTTTACGTGGGTTTTCTTGACAAAACGTGGTTTGGAGACCAGCGTCGGGTGACACGGCCGCTGTCAGCTCCAGTAGTGTGTGTGTGTCACGTAGCGTGAACGCCACAACGTCTTCAAGACTGCCGTCATATGACGGGAAGTTGTGTGAACGACACGGCCATCGGCCGACGCTGAAAGTCGTGTAGTCTGCATGAGCCTTTAGTATAACTTATATAGCACTCGGGTGATGTTTGTAAAGCAGCTGTCTAGTTGTTGTTTGCTGTATGACACACTATGAATTTCCGAAAGGACTAATATAGGGTACCCGTGGGGTCTTCAAAGTATTAAAAAAGTCTTAAATTTCATATTCCAAAAATAAGGCCTTAAAATAATTAAATTTCATGACCAAAGTATTAAATTTCGTTTACCAAGGTCTTAAATTTGTTTAAATTTGCCATAACGTCATAAATAAACACTTTTTATGCGTGTAACTTTATAATTTACTGTCTGGTGTGACTCTGATGTTATATGGCAGTACAGGTAACGTTACTGTTTACGTCAGTGTTTAGCTTTACGCTCTGGACTGTGGAGTGTTCGCTGTGCATGAGCTCCGGCATCCAAACTCTGGCGCGGATCAGTCAGAAAATAAAACTAACAACAAGCTAACGCTAGTAATGTCGTGTAAAAATTCAAGACTTGGGCCAGATAAGAAAGCTTGAACTTTTACCAACATTTTTATTATCAACAAAGACAGACACCAATTAGAATACAAAAGTTCCACCGGAGTGTGTCAGAGATCGGTGCAAAATAGAGCCCCATTCGGTTACCAGAACAGAGACCCGAGTCAACATGAAAACCATGTAACGACTGACTTTCACCTCCTTTTGGACCTCCTTTTATAGCTCTGTTTCTTGGCTTCACATCATCTCTTGGCTCTCTTTCCTACTGCACCTGAGTCTGGGAAAGTCCCTGACTGCCTGCTCCTCCTCTCTGTGTCCTTTGCATGCACTCTGCTTGATCATGCCATTTCATCCATAACCTGACTTTTGTGGAATAAACTGGTGTTGTTTGTGCTCTGTGCTAGAAACAGGACATTCTTACTGTGATGGACTATATTGATGATATTTTCACAAAATCTGCTTCTATATTTTCCTTTGCAGGTGTTTTTGATGCTGCCTCATTGTGCTCCCTCCCTTTTCTCCCAAAGCGCACGAACTTGCTCACACACACACATACGTGCCTAGGCAGTTAGGTACAGAAAGGAGCACATACACTCAGAGCTGTAGAGTTTTAACACTGTGATCCTAACTTTACACTATAAAATAACACTTTAAACGATGACAATGTAGACCACCATTGCTCTAGTAATTAATGATAACAATTTAGGCTATAATGCTCCAAAATAATTCACAACACTAGCTCATCGCCTGAGAATGGGAAAGTGTCTGAAATTCAGAAAGCCAGAGAAACAGACAAGTGGTGGTTGAGCACCACTTGTCCGTTGGCTGGAAGACCAGCCTGCAGGTTCTTGGTCAGTGAATGTTACAACAGCAACGGAGAGACAGTTGTGTATGAGGACCGTGTCTGTGTGTCGGCGTTGCGCCACTGTTGTAGTGTAACGTTAAGTGAATGGAAACATCCGACATGCTAACGCAT